ATAACTCAACCCAGAATCCTATATCCAGTGAAAATATCCTTCAGGAATGAAAGGGGAATCAAGACAGTCTCAGATGAAGAAAAACTTATTAGAGAATTTGCTGCCAGTAAAACTACTCTAAATGAATGGCTAAGCGAAATTCTCTAAACAGAAAAGAAATGATGCAAGAAGGGACCCTATTTCATGAAGAAAGAACAATGGAAAGAACAATACATGGTAAATACAATTTCCTTCTCCTCTTGAGTCTTCTAAACTGTGTGATGGACAAAGCAAAAATTATGACATGTCTGATGTGGTTCTAAACGTATGTAGAGGAAATATTTAAGACAACTTTAAATTGAGGAGGGTAAAGTGATGTAAACAGAGGTATGTTTCTATACTTCACTCAAGCTGATAAAATAATGACCCCAGCAGACTGTGAAAAGCAATGTACATACAATGTAATACACAGCCACTAAAAAAACTATGCAAAGATATATACTAAAAAACACTATATATAAGTAAAAACGGAATTTTAAAATGTGTTCAAGTAACCCACAAGAAGTCAGGAAAAAGAAAACAGAGAATCAAAAAACAAAACAAGAAATAAAACAACTCCTATTTGCAGATGACATGATTGTCTACGTACAAAACATCAAGGAATCTAAAAGAACACTCACAGAACTAATAAGTGAATTCAGCAGGGTCATACAACAGAACATAAACATACAAAAATCAATTGTATTTCTATATGCTATCAATGAACACATGAAAACCAAAATTTAAAAAAGTAAATACTTAGTATAAGGCTAAAAAAACGTGCAGGATTATAAGCTGAAAACTAGAAAATGCTGACGAAAGAAAGAAAATATGTGAATAAATGGAGGACATGCTGTATTCACGGATTGGAAGATTAAACATATTAAAGATGTTGACTATGGTCAAATTGATATACAGATATGAATAACACAATTCCTATCAAAATCTTGATAAGATTTTTTGTAGATATAGGCAAGATTATTCTAAAATTTATATGGGAAGGCCAATGAACTAGATTAGCTAAACTAATTTTGAAAAAGAAGAATAAAGTGGAAGGAATCAATCTACCTGATTTTAAGATTTATCGGAAGATTCAAGATTTCAAGCTTCAGTAATCAAGGCTGTGTAGTATTAATGGTGAGACAGACAAAACGACCAATGGAACAAAACAGAGAACTCTGAAACCGACCACACAAGCACAATCAACTGATTTCTGACAAAAGTGCAAAAGCAATTCAATGGAGGAAGAACAGACCTTTCAACAAATGGTGTTGGTTGGATATCCATAGGGCAAAACAAAACAAAACCCACTCAAACTAGACTTCACACCTTACACAGGAATTAACTCAAAATGGATCACAGATTTAAATGTACAACAGAAAACTAGAAAACTTTTAGAAAAAGAGAGAAAATCTTCAGGAATTAGAGCTAGGCAAACAGTTCTTAAACTTGACACCAAAAGCCTGATCCCTAAGAGACAAAACTGATAAACTAAACTTCATCAAAATTAAAAACTTTTGCTCTGCAAGATCCTGTTAAGAAGATGAAGGGGCTGGCTCCATGGCCAACTGGTTAAGTTCACACGCTCCACTGCAGGTGGCCCAGTGTTTCGTTGGTTCGAATCCTGGGTGTGGACATGGCACTGCTTGTCAAACCACGCTGAGGCAGCGTCCCACATGCCACAACTAGAAGGACCCACAATGAAGAATATACAACTATGTACCAGGGGGCTTTGGGGAGAAAAAGGAAAAAAAATAAAATCTTTAAAAACAAGAAGGGGAAGAAAGTAAAGTATATTAAAAAAAAAAAAAGAAGAAGATGAAAACACAAGCTATAGGAGAAAATATTTGCGAACCTCACATCCAACAAAGGACTAGAATATATAAGGAATTCTCAAAACTTGACATTAAAAAAAGCAAATGATCCAATTACAAATTGGGCAAAAGATACGAACAAGCATTTCAAAGAAACAGATATACAGATAGCCAATAAGCACATGAAAAGATGCCGAATATCACTAGCCATCAGGGAAACGGAAATTAAAACTACAATAAGACATCACTACATACACATCTATTACAATGGATAAAATAAAAAAATAGTAAGATCAACAAATGCTGGCAAGGATGCAGAGAAAGTGGATCACAAATACATTAACGAAGGGAATGTAATAATGGTACAGGCCATTCTAGAAAACAGTTTGGCTATTTCTTAAAAAACTAAACACGTGACCACTATATGACCTGGTGATTGCACATCTGGGCATTTATCCCAGAGAAATGAAAACTTAGGTTCACATAAAAGCCTGTATATGAATGTTTATAGTAGCCATATTCATAATAGCCAAAGAATGAAAACAACTCAGATGTCCTTCAGTGGGTGAAGAGCTAAATCCACTGGCTACATCCATAGCCTGGAGGCATAAAAAGGAACAAACTACTGACAGAGGCACCAACCTGCATGCATCTTCAGACAATCACCCTAAGAGGAAAAAGCCAATCCCAAAGGTCACATATTTTGTGATTCTCTTTATATAACACTCTTGACATGCCAAAATTACAGAAATGGAGAACAGATTAGTGGTTGCCAGGAGCTGAGGACTTGGAGGCAGAAGGGAAGCAGGTGTGGCTATAAAAAGGCAACAGGAGGGATCCTAGTGGTGATGGAAATATTCTGTATCTCTATTATTATCAATGTCAACATCTGGTTGTGACATCTACTATAGTTTTTGCAAAATGTTATCATTTGGAGAAAGTGGGTAAAGGGACACTGGGATCTCCCTATACTACTTGTTACAACTGCATATGATAGATTCACATGTATAAATTTCTCAGTAATTGAACAATTATCTCAAAGTAAAAATTATCTAAAAATTTAAAAAGTAGTCAGCACAGTATTTTTTTCAAACGGGGCAGTGAGGGATGAGATCAGTTAAAAGCAGATCCAATAAGCATATATGTATATGTGATATACCTATAATAAACACAGTAAATATTTGGTACTTAATAAACTGCACATTCAAATTAAAATGAAACTAACAAATTCACGTTTTTGAAATTAAAGTTATCTTTAAAAGTAACTGAATTGTGGTAATGGTTGCATACCTGAATATGGTACAAACCATTTAACTGTATACTTTAAATAACTGAATTGTACGGTACATGAATTGTACTTCACTAAAGCTGTTAAAGAAAAAAAAGTAATTGAAATGTGCAAAGTGCTCTCAAAAAAACAATGAGGATACTCTGGTGTTTCTCCAACTTTCTAAGATCCAGTCCTTAGCTAACTGCAAAGCTAGAACAGTATTAAATATTTTCACATGGGGCGGGTGTGCACAAAAAACTGGAGTTTTACTGGCACCTCGTGCCACAGTGCAAACAAGCCTTCATCCCAGGGCACTCATCCTAAAGCCGCTCAGAGCGTGTACCTGGAAGGGAGCCTCCAGTCCTGCTTCAAAGTACAGCACTGCAGAACAAGGCACAGAGAAACGCCAATACAGAGCCCACACCTCCGACCTCACAGTCACCTTTCCTTTGTGCTGGGTGAAGTGGAGAGACAGCAGGTTCTCGTCTACTCAGTCAGTGCCTAGCCACAGGTTTTCTATTAAGTCTCAGGGCACAGCTTACACTTAAGTCAGGTAGTTTTGCAAAAGAGAAAAGGTACACGACTACTGTGTTCCTCCAGAAAAGGCACTTCATCTGAACATGGGCTACCAAACCACCAGAAGGAGGATGAATGGTGCGGTACTGCAGGGGTAAACATGCTCATCAAGGGCATCACCCCAAGGACAGCAGGAAGGATGAGTAAGGTGGGGTAGTGACCACGGTGGGGTACTAAGTACAGTGGGTACTGCAGGATAATCTGCTCCTCAAATGCATCAGCCCAGGAGTATGCAAGGAGAGAACGAGTACAGTGGGATACTGAGTATGGTGGGTACTGTGGGGTATTCTGCTTCTCAAGGGCATCAGCTCAGAAGCAGGCACGGAGACGATGAGTACAGTGGGGACAGAGTAGGGTGAGCACTGAGGGATAATCTGCTCCTCAAGGGCATCAGCCCGGGAGCACACAGGGAAAGGATGAGTATGGTGGGGTACTGAGTATGGTGGGGTACTATGTACTGTGGGTGCTGTGGAGTAATACATTCCTCAAAGGCTCACCCTCAGAGTGCAGGAAGGAGGACGGGTATGGTAGGGTACTGGGCATGGGGGGGTACTGCAAGGTATTCCGCTCCTCAAGGGCATCAGTCCAGGAGCACGCCGGGAGAAGGATGGGTATGGTGAGGTACTGAGTACCGTGGGAGGGACAGCCAGGACAGGAGCCGACCCGCATAGTGCTCTGGGCTGGGAGGACGGCCCAAAGTCCGCAACCGCTTCAAGGGCGCGCCATCCTTCCGTCGTCTGCACGGACAGAGGACACGGCCAGGCGGTTCGCACGTGACGCTTCCTCGACCTTGGGGGTCACCCTGGCGGCGGCGCCCGTTCCCTCACATCCGCCGCGCGGCCCTCCCCCGGCCCGCCACAGCCAATGGCGCGCCGCTCCGCGCCCTTCGCGACCTCCGCGCGCGCCCGCACCCGCCAATCTCCGCCCGCCCGGCGACGCCCGCAGCACCATTAGCTGCCACACCTGTCCGTCAGGCTCCGTCCCACCCACCTCCCTCTTCAGTCCCGCTCCATCCAGCTTCACTCCCTGTCACCGCGGCGCCAGCGACAACAGGGGCGCAGCGGCCTCACTCCCTGCCGCGATCCCTGCCTCCTACCCGATGAGTACGGAGCCTCCCATACCGGGCCAGGCCCGGCGGCAGCGCGCCCTTACCTGTCTCCGGTTCAGCTCCACCCGAATAAGGCGCCGACACCCCACTCCGGGGCACCAAACTCTCGGCTCCGCCCTGGCGTGTGGCGTCAGCACGCAGGCCCGCCCCAGGAGGAGAAGGCCCGCCCCTGCCGCATGGGCGGGGCCGTGGCGTCACAGAGACGCGCCGGCGTCGCTCGCGGTGGGTGTTAGTGACCGCCAAGCTGACGAAGAGGGTGCGGCCCCGGGTGGGGCTTCGTCGGGCCGAACGGACCTGCTTGCAGGGTGTGGAAAGCGGGTTCGTCCGTGCCTAGTAGTGTCTCCTGTAGTGGGCTGTCAGAAACCCTCTGAGGGAGGGCTGAGCCGACGTGATGATTGTTTCCCAACAGAAAGGAACCTTGGTCAGCGCTGCGCGCTCGGGGCGCTGCGCCGGCCCGTGGGCAGGATGAGTGAGAACCAAGAGGCCCCGGCGCGGGCCTCAGCGTATCCGAGTGTTTGTGGAGCCGTGGTGGACACGAGGGTTTCCCAAAGGGGCAGCGGGATCGCTGTAGGACGCCGGTCCCTTCAGCTAATGCGTGGACGGTGTATCAAGCCATTTTATTGGATACAAGTGGCCCTAGGCTTTTTTTTTAACTTATTATTTTTTTAATTTTTCCTTCTCCCCAAAGCGCCCCAGTACATAGTTGTATATTTTGGTTTTGGGTCCTTCTAGTTGTGGCATGTGGGATGCCACCTCAGCATGGCCTGACGAGCAGTCCCAGGTCCCGGCCCAGGATCAGAACTGGCGAAACCCTCAGCCGGGGAAGCAGAGCGGGAACTTAACCACTCTGCTGGGCAGGGCCCAGGCCTTAGGCTTTACGATGTTTTATTTACTGCAGAGAAAGAAAAGATGCTTTTACTAGCACATCTTGACCGTAAGTTGCAGCCCTATTTCTAAATGTGAAAACAAAAATTGTGTCTCAGATATCAGAAATCTCAAGAGTCTGTTGCACCCCTATGTTCATCGCAGCATTATTTACAATAGCCAAGATGTGGAACCAGCCTACATGCCCAGAAACTGATGATTGGATAAAGAAGATGTGGTATATATACACAATGGAATACTACTCAGCCATAAAAAAAGACAAAATTGGCCCATTCACAACAACGTGGATGGACCTCGAGGGTATTATGTTAAGCGAAATAAGCCAGTCAGAGAAAGACGAACTCTATATGACTCCACTCATAGGTGGAAGTTAGTATATTGATAAGGAGATCTGATCGGTGGTTACCAGGGAAAAGGGGGGGTGGGGGGAGGGCACAGAGGGGGAAGTGGTGTACCCACAACATGACTAACAAAAATGTACAACTGAAATCTCACAAGGTTGTAATCTACCATAACATTAATAAAAAAAAAAAACTTAAAAAAAAATTGTGTCTCAGAATTGAGGAAATAAGGTAAATTGTAGTCACTCACATACTGAAAAAGTGAGTCCCTTGCAATTCTTCAGTCTTCATTACAGCAAGGAGAAAGCCTCATTTCGTGCTAATGTGTGTTTAACTCCACTGGTTTCCTTTCCTTTTTTGACAGAGGTCAGACCTTAGGCTCAAAACTTTTGGTGGGCAATAATATAAAGCTAAAGCTTAAACTGCCTTGTCTTCCTGATTTGTGACAGTTTATCTTTGATATTTATGGCAAGTGATACTGATTTTTCTACTTACAGTAATGATAGTTTTGTAATAAATGGTTCCACTTAAAGACTATATTAACTAGATATTAGTATGGGGAGGTGGCATCCAAATGACTAACATTAGGGAATTGCTGTTCCACACTGTCTTGAGTTGTTCTGTATATATTCCCAACAGCTTGAAGACAAGGACTGTGTCATAAGGCACAGCAGAGGATACTGGGGTGACCAGGGGCAGTGATCGGACCACAGAGATCTGACCATGATAGTGTCATAGAGAACACAAATATCTGAATGTGGGCCCGAATTCAGACCAAGGGCTATGCCACCCACTCACTGGTGTGATACAGACTTAGAGCAGTTTTTAAATTTCTAAAAGGGAAAGGCAAAGTAAGAGGTGTTTTTTGTTTTTCTTTTTTTAAGTAGAGAGTGTAAGTGCTTGTGAGAACACAGTTGGGCTGATGTGTGGGATAAGGATCTGGGAGACTGGGAGAAGGTTAAGGAACCAAGGAACAAAGTTCAGTATTTTTTTTTCTCTCTTTTTTTTATTGTGGTAAAATATATATACGAAAAAAATGTCATTTTAACTTTTTTTTTTGCTGAGGAAGTTTCGCCTTGAGCTAACATCTGCTGCCAGTCTTCCTCTATTTTGTATGTGAGCTGCTGCCATGGTATGGCCATTGACAGACGAGTGGTGTAGGTCTGCGTCCAGGGAACCAAACCTGGGCTGCCAAAGTGGCACAGGCTTAACTTAACTACTAGGCCATGGGGGCTGGCCCCATTTTAACTATTTTAAAGTGTGTAATTCACTGGTATTATATCCACAATGTTGTGCAACCAGCACCACTATATTTCTGAAACCTTTTCACCACTTCAAACAGAAATTCTGTAATCATGAAGTGATAACTTCCCATTCCCCTCCCTCTCCCTTCTCCTTTGGTAACCTCTATTATACTGCATGTCTCTATAAATTTTATGACTCTAGGTACCTCATATAAGTGGAATCATACAGTATTTGTCCTTTTATGGATCACATATTTCACTTAACAGAATGTTTTCAAGGTTCATCCATGTTGTAGCATGTGTCAGAATTTCCTTTTTATGGCTGAATAATATTCCGTTGTATGGATATACCACACTTTATCTATCCATTCATCAGCTGATGGACATTTGAGTTATTTCCACCATTTGGCTATTGTGAATAATGCTACAATGACCATTGGCTTCCAAGTATCCGTTGAGTACTTGTTTCTAATTCTTTAAAAGTGGAATTGGTGGGTCAGATGGTAATGCTATCTCTAGCTTTTTGAGGAAGTGCTAAACTGTTTCTTAGTGGCCACATCATTTTACATTCCCACCAGCAATGCAGGAGGCTTCCAATTTCTCCAAATCCTTGTCAGTGCTTCCTATTTTCTCTTTAAATTTTATTATAGTCATCTTAGTATGTGTGAGGTGATCTCATTGTTGTCTTGATTTGCATTTCCCTAGTAACTAATGATGTCGAACATCTTTTCATGTGCTTACTGGCCATTTGTATATCTTCTTTGGAGAAAAGTCTATTCAAGTCCTTTGCCTGTTTTTGAATTGGGTTGTCTGTCTCAATGTCCAGGTGGAGGAATTCTTTATATATTCTGGGTATTGATCCCTTATCAAATATATGATTTGCAGATATTTTGTCCCATTCTGTAGGTTGTCTTTTCACTTTATAATTTCCTTTGATGAACCAGTGTTTAATTTTGATGAAGTTCATTTTATTTGTTGTTATTGCTCATATCATAGCTAAGAATCCATTACCAAATCCGAGGTCATGAAGATTTACCCTTATGTTTCTTCTAAGAATTTTATGGTTTTAGCTTTTATATTTAGGTTGTTTATCTATTTTCAGTTGTTTTTTATATATGATGTGGGGTAGGGGTCCAACTTCATCTTTTTGCATGTGGAACTCCAATTGTCCCAGCACCGTCTGTTGAAGACATGATTCCTTCCCTATTGAATGGACTTGGCACCCTTTTTGAAAATCAATTGACTGTATATGTTGAGTTTATTTCTGGACTCTCAATTCTATTCCATTGGTCTGTATGCTATCTGTTTGCCAGTACTACACTGTTTGCATTACTGTAATATTGTAGTAAGTGTTTTTGTTTTGTTTTGTTTTGTTTTATGTGTGAGGAAGATTGGCCCTAAGTTAACATCTGTTGCCAATCTTCTGTTTGCTTGAGGAAGATGGTCATTGAGCTAACATCTGTGCCAGCCTTCCTCTACTTTGTATATGGGTATACACAGCATGGCTTGATGAGCAGTATGTAGGTCTGTGCCCAGGATCTGAACTTGTGAAACCTGGGCCACCAAAATGGAGTGTGCAAAGTTAACCACTATGCCACTGGGCCAGCTACTGCAGTAAGTTTTGAAATCCAGAAGTGTGTGTTCTCCAATTTTGTTGTTTTTTTTTTTAAAGATTTTATTTTTCCTTTTTCTCCACAAAGCCCCCTGGTACATAGTTGCATATTTTTAGTTGTGGGTCCTTCTAGTTGTGGCATGTGGGACGCCACCTCAGCATGGCTTGATGAGCAGTGCCATGTCCATGCCCAGGATTCGAACCGGTGAAACCCTGGGCCGCCAAAGCAGAGTGTGCAAAGTTAACCACTCTGCCACGGGGCCGGCCCCTCCAATTCTGTTCTTTTCAAGGTTGTTTTGGCTATTCAGGGTCCCTTGCAATTCCATATAGAGTCATGTATTGCTTAACGACAGGGACGTGTTCTGAGAAATACATTGTTAGGCAATTTTGTTGTGCAAACATCATAGGGTATATTTACACAAACCTAGATGGTATAACCTACTACACACCTAGGCTATGTATTACTAATCTTATGGGACCACTGTCATATATGCAGCCTGTCATTGACTGAAATGTCGTTACGTGGCACATGACTGTAAATTTAAGGATTGGCTTTTCCACTCTGCAAAAAAAGGCTGTTAGAATTTTGATAGGGATTGGGTTGACTCTGCAGGTTGCTTTGGGTAGTATTGACATCTTAACAATACTAAGTCTTCCAGTCCATGTCTTTCCATTTAGTAGTGTCTTCTTTAATTTCTTTGAGAACTGTTTTGTAGTTTTCAGTGCACAGGTCATTCACCTCCTTGGCTGAATTTGTTCCTAATGATTTCATTCTTTTTGATGCTATTGCAAATGGAATTCTTTTCTTAATTTTCTTTTCAGGTTGTTCACTTTGAGTGTGTAGAAATGCAACTGATTTTATATCCTGCAATTTTGCTGAATTTATTAGCTCTTGTAGCTTTCTTTTGAATTCTTTGGGACTTTGTCTACTTCCATCTTTTCCAGTTTGAATGCCATCTGTTTCTTTTCCTTGCCTAATTCTTTTGATTAGAACATCCAGTACAATCTTGAATAGCACTGGTGAAAGCAGACTCCCTTATCTTCTTCCTGATCTTAGGGGAAAAGCTTTCAGTCTTTCACCATTAAGATGTTTGCTGTGGGATTTCCACACACGTCCTTTATCATGTTGAGGAAGTTTCCTTCCATTCCTAGTTTTCTGAGTGTTTTTGATGATGAAAGGGTGTTGGGTTTTGTTAAGTGCCTTTTCTGCATAAGTTAAGGTAATTGTAGGTTTTCTCCTCATTCTAATAATGTGATATATTACATTGACTGGTTTTCTTATGTTGAGCCACCCTTGCATTCATGGGATAAATCCCACTTGGTCATGATGTATAATCCTCTTAAGATGCTGTTGGATTTGGTTTGCTAGTACTTTGTTGAGGGTTTTTGAATCTATATTCATAAAAGATATTTTCTTTTCTTGTGATGTCTTTGGCTTTAAAATCAGTGTAATCCTGGCCTCATAGAATGAACTAGGAAGTATTCCTCCTCTTCAATTAGTTGGAAGAATTTAAGTAGGATTGGTATTAATTCTTCTTTAAATATTTGGTAGAACTCACCAGGGAAGCCATCCATTCCTGGACTTTTCCTTATTGTGTCATTTTAGGTGACTTGTGTTTTTTTTAGGAATTTGTCCAGTTCATCTGAGTTATCTTATTTGTTGGTGTGCAATTGTTCATAGTGTTCTTATCATCCTTTTTATTTCTGTAAGGTCAGTAGTAATGTCTCTACTTTCATTTTTGATTTTAGTGATTTATGTCTTCTCTTTTTTTCTTTGTCAGTCTGGCTAAATGTTTGTCAATTTTGTTGATCTGTTCAAAGAATTGACTTTTACTTTCATTGACTCTATTGTTTTCCCATTCTGTTTTATTTACCTTTGTTTTAATCTTTATTATTTCTTTCCTTCTGCTAGCTTTGGGTTTAGTTTGCTCTTTTTTTTCTTTCTTGTTTAGTTCCTCAAAGTGTAAAGTTAGGCTACTGATTTGATTTCTTTCTTCTTTTTTTAATGTAGACATTTACAACTGTAAATTTTCCTCTGAGCACTGGCTTTGGTGGATTTCCTGCTCAGTATGCTTTTTCATCAAAGTAGACATTCTGCATTCATTCAACAAATATTTATACCACTTTGGTTCTAGGTGCTGGGGATACAGAGGTGAACACAACACAGACAGGAGCTATGTTGTCATGGAGCTACATTTTAGGGTAAGCCAACAAGATAGCAATTAATGTTTTGAAATCCGTAAGACAGGGTACTGTGATAGAGAATGGCACTAGCACTGCTTTAGTTTTTTCTTCTTTTTTAGGAAGATTAGCCCTGAGCTAACATCTGCTGCCAATCCTCCTCTCTCTCTCTCTTTCTCTCTCTCTCTTTTTTTCCTGCTGAGGAAGACTGTCCCTGAGCTAACATCCATGCCCATCTTCCTCTACTTTATATGTGGGACACCTGCCACAGCATGGCTTGCCAAGTGGTGCCATGGCCGCACCCAGGATCTGAACCGGTGAGCCCCGGGCCACCGAAGCAGAACATGTGCACTTAATCGCTGCGCCACCAGGCTGGCCCCTGCTTTATTTTTTAAATTTTATTTTATTAAATAGGTAACATATTCACATGGTTCAGAAATCAAAAAGATATTAAAAGGTTTAGTTTGCAAAGTCCCCCTTGTACCCCTGTTACCATCCATCTCATTATCTGCTAGCCTACCAGAGTCCTTCCCTGCCAGAGGCAACTCTTAATTTGTTGTGTCATGGGGCTATAAGGTATCCTGAGGTGAGAGCAGAGGTGGAGGGAGTTCAGGGGCTTGGAGAGTGGCCATTTACCAACTAGGACAGAAGTATTTCTATTTTTTAATCTGAAACCATACTGGTGTATATTGGCTGAATATCCACGTTACCTATAAGTAACCACTTATACTAGAGTCTTATATCTTCTAGTGTTTTTCGTGCAAATACAAACACCAAAGATAGCTTACTAGGTACTCTTCTTCTCACCATGCTTTTTAAACTTAGCAGTTTATCCTGGAAATCCTTCTATATTAGTTCATAGAGAGCATCCTCATTTTTTCCAGTTGCATAATTGGACACAGTGGTTATGGTGTGGATAACTCACCTTTGTTCCCTGTGATATTGGCTGGGGCAGCTCCTCTGGGACTGGAGGATCCAAAATGGCTTCATTCCAATGGCTGGCAGCTCTATTGGGTGGGCTGGACCTCATTTCAGCTGGGTTCCAAGGCAGTGAAAATGGAATCCGTAAGGCCTCTTAAGGCCTAGGCTCCAGAGCCATACAGTTTCTCTTCTACTGCATTGAATTGGTCAGAGCAAATCACAGGGCCAGTCTAGATTCCAGTGGAAGGGAAATAGATTCCATGCCTCAATGGGAAGAGCATCATGTGGATGCAAGGATGGGAGGGATTGTTGACACTGTTCTACCACACCAAGGTCCAGTCAAGGTTCACATGTCTTATTTGGTGTTATGTATCTCTAGTCTTTTTTAAATTAGTACCTTTCCCCCACTTTATTTTTTGCTCCCTTTAGTTTTTGAAAGGTTGAAACCAATTGTTCCATAGTCTGATTTTCCTTATTATTTCCTCACAATGTCCTCTAACTTCTGAATTTCTAGTAAACTGCAAGATGGGACAAAAGACCTGATTCAGGTTAAACATTACTTAAAAAATATTTTGTACCCATTAATGATCCTTCTGTTATACATTGATCATCTTTTGCCTGGACAGGATGATAATTTTAAAATTTAAGTCAGATCAAGTCATTCCTCACTCAGAATCCCCTAAGGGGTTCATTTGCCAAAGTCCTTAAAATGGTCTAAAAGGGCTACCTAACCCTCCTAATCCACCTACGATCTCATTTCCGCCTCCTTTCCTCAACTCTTTCCTGCCACACTGGCCTCCTTGCCCTTATTTAACTCAGCAGACACATGCCAGCCTCAGGGCTTTCACTCTTTCCTCCAGTACTTGTAGGACCTACCCCTTAAGGGCCCCTTTCACATGGCACCTCAGTGAGCCTTCCTTGGCCACTCTTGTATCCCACCCCACCTCTAACCAGACACTCCCTATGTTAGTTTCCATAACAATTTACCACAAACACGGTGGATTAAAACAACATAAATTTATTCTGTCACAATTCCAGAGGGCAGAAGTCCAAAATTAAGGTGTCAGCTGGGCTGTGCTCCCTCCAGAGACTCTAGGAGAGATTTCATTGCTTGTCTCTTCCAGTTTCTGGTGGCTCCAGGCATTCATTGGCTTGTGGCTGCATCACTCCAATGTCTGCCTTTGTGATCACATAGCCTCCCCCTTTTGTCTGGGTAGCTCTCTAAAGTGTACAGTTCAGTGGCATTAAGTATATTTACAATATTGTGAAACATCTCCAGGACTTTCTCATCATCTGAAACTGAAACTCCACACCCATTAAACAATAACTTTCCATTCCTCCCTCCCTGCAGTCCATGGCTACCACCATTCCACTTTCTATTTCTATGATTTTGACTACTCTAAATACCTCATATAAATGGAATCATACAGTATTTGTCCTTTGTGACATGCTTATCTCACTCAGCATAATGTCCTCAAGGTTCATCCATGTTGTAGATATTACAGAATTTCCTTCCTTAAGCTGAATAATATTCCATGGTATGTGTGTATCACATTTTGTTTATCCCTTGTGTCTTCATCCATTGATGGACATTTGGGTTGCTTCCACCTCTTGGCTATTGTGAATAGTGTTGCTATGAACATGGATGTGCAAATATCTTTTGAAAATCCTTTCATTTGTTTTAGAGATCTACCCAGAAGTGGAGTTGCCAGATCATATGACAATTCTATTTTAATTTTTTGAGGAACCTCCATACTATTTTCCATAGTGGTTGCAACAATTTACATTACCACAGGTGATTCACAAGGGTTCCAATTTCCCCACATCCTCACCAACACTTGTTTTCTGTTTTTTTTTGATAGTAGCCATTCTAATGAGTGTGAGGTATCTCTTGTTTCTTATAAAGACACTTGTTGGATTTAGGGCTCACCTCAATAATCCCGGATTATCTCATCAGGATCCTTAATTACATTTGCAGAGACTCTTTCTTCAAGTAAGGTCACATTCACAGGTTCTGGGGACTTGAACATGGACATTTTGGGCCTGGCCACTGTTCAACCCACTATACCTTCCCGTCCTCTTCCCTGCCACATTTTCCTCCTTAACACTTATTCCTTCTGACGTGCTACATATTTACTTATTGACAAACAATAATCAAGATAAATCCATGAGGACAAGCATTTTTGTGTTTTGTTCACCGGTGTGTTCCCAGAGTTTTGAGCAGTGTCTGGCACAAATGGCTGCTCAGCAGATATTGGTTGAGTGAATGAATGAAGGGGTAGCCAGCCTAGATAAATGTTGGCAGAAACTGCCCCTACCACTTTTAAGGGGAAAGTTTTGGCCCAGAGATTAGATGACCTAAGACAAGTTTTCTACTGTGAGGATGCCATCTCCTTAAGATTACTCATCAATTAGGACAAATTTCAGGTCCTCTTTAAGAAAAAATACAAAATTAGAAATACAAATACCATTTCTCACTAAAGTGAATTAGGATTCCTTGGATAAATGGCTGATTTTGTGTCTAGGGCAGGAAATGTACAAAATGTAAAGCAAGAAAGCCCCTAAAGACTACTAGAATTGTGCCAAAGGGCACAGAAGAAACTGAATGTTTTATGAGACAATTTGAACATTAAAAAAAGGGTAATGATGGGGCCGGCCCCATGGCTGAGTGGTTAAGTTCGCACGCTCTGCTTCAGTGTCTAGGGGTTTCACCGGTTCAGATCCTGGGCTTGGACATGGCACCACTCATTGGGCCATGCTGTGGCGGCATCCCACATGCCACAACTAGAAGGACCCACAACTAAAAATACACAACTATGTACCGGGGAGCTTTGGAGAGAAAAAGGGAAAATAGTCTTTACAAAAAAGGGTAATGATTATAATGGATTGAAACATTTTGTTTTACTGTAAATCCTCTCTGGCTCTACATTTAACTGTTTACAGGATATACCAGGGACAGGAACATGTAAAATGACACATGAAGATACAATCAGCCAAATCCAGAATGTGAAAAATTCTGTTGGTCACCCCATCCAGTTCCTTCAGTAAGTGGCATCATCATCATCAACCACAAAAAGGGAAGCGGAATTGTTGTATGTTAGAAGAGATCTAGGAGATACATCAATGAATGCAGCAAGTAGACCTTGCTTGGACCCTCATTAAACACTAAAAGTTTTTGAGACAATGGGGAAAAATTGCATATATACTAAGTATTAGATGACATTAAAGAGTTATGTTTAATTTTGTTGGGTGTGCTAATGGTATTTTTTAAAGTCCTTATCTGTTTGAGACACACACTATGGGGCCAGCCCCATGACCAAGGGTTAAGTTCATGCGCTCCACTTCGGCAGCCCAGGGTTTCACCGGTTTGGATCCTGGGAGGACCTAGCATCACTCATCAAGCCATGCTGAGGTTGCGTCCCACATAGCAGAGCCAGAAGGACCTACATAAAGAGTATACAACTATGTGCTAGGGGGCTTTGGGGAGAAAAAAAAAAAGATTGGCAACAGATGTTAGCTCAGGTGCCAATCTTTGAAAGAAAAGAGACACACACTGAAGTATTTATAGGTGAAATGATATGTCTGGGATTTTAATATACTTCAGGAAAAACAATGCAGAAAGATAAATGAAACAAGAAAGGCAAAAAATTGATCATTGTTGAAATTGGATGACGGGTATATGAAAGTTCATTGTAACTATTCTTTTAGGTGTGACTGGAAATTCTCTTAATAAAAAATTAAAAACAAAGTTTCAACCTCCCTTTGCTCTATGCCATGTCCAATATGTAGCCACCCCTGATGCAGGAAGGGTTAATAATCACTGGAAATGACTTGCCAACAAACTGTGACCCAGAAGTGAGAAGGCCGGTCAGCCAATGACAGGTAAGACCTCCGGGGGAGGCAACCTAAGACAGGCACAGTCGCCTGGGGGCACAGATGGAGACCCTGCCTGCTCAGAGATAAAAATATACGAGCACAGCAGTAACATGATATCAAAACAGAGGCCGAGGGAGGGCTCCTTGAGAAATCACTAAGAATTCTTGGCATTCGCTAATTACTTCATCCAGGACACCTGTGTATGTTTAACAGATGTAAGCTGTGTATATATTGGAACGCTGGTTATAATAAACTCAGAGTGGCCATCAGCCCTCTCCACATCTATCCCGATGTGTACATTGCATTGCGACACTGACACAATAATTAACTTTCTGGTTTGTTTTTCATTGTCCTCTGTAACACAAAATGGGTGCTGTAACTAGAGGACGTCAACATGCCCCACGACCCAGCTCATTCTGAGTTTTCCTCCTACTTCTCTTTTCCTCAGTTTTCTTAGCCGAGATTTTCAGTCTCATGTTGCAGTTTGTTCAAAGGAAGAAGGGAGGAGAATGATGCAGAGAAGCTTGCCAAGGGAAGGGTGGGCAACAGCAGACAGGTCAAGCCACTTAAACCTGAAGACTGTCCCCACCAGATGTGGACGGAGATCAAACTCTCCACTGACTGCTGAATATGGCAAAGACTGTGCCTTGTCCATTCCACTGGACAAAAGTTGAGCCAAACGCTAATATTTAGAAATCGGAGATTTCATATCAAAACCCAAATTTCCACCTTCGTTTTATTTGTTCATCCAGCTTCTTAAAACGAGTTCTCCAAGAAGAGGCTTTCTGTTCTCACCACAGAACTGCTGCTGCTCAGGGAGGCTTGCTTTGTAAAACTTCATTCTTTAATGCTCAAGGATTTTTGTCTGGTTCAATCCAGTTCTTACAGGATAAACAACAGCATATACGACAGTAAGCACGGTAAGCATGACGTTACACGGTTTCTCTATGTTCAGCAAGGAAGGCAGAGCAAGCACTGGGACCCCACCCACACTTCTCACTGGCCTATCGGAGCCACCAAGCCCAGTTTCGTTCTGCTCAACATCTCTATCCACTGGGACCCAAATCACTGCAGGCCAGCGGAGACCCGGGCCCCCAACTGTGGATGAGCTCCAGTTGTCGTGACTGCGTGTCCCAAACCTTCACCGCGGGGACAGTGAGCGGACTGACGAGTTGACACAAACTGCTAGGGGTTTGGGGTACAAAGGCGAAGACGCTGCCAAGCCCTGGCTTTAAGAGCAAATACTGAAAATGGGACATTGGGGCCGTGTCCCCCACCTCTTCCCCCCGCTGAGCGCACCCAGGTGACTTTAACCGGTCAATACTTCAGTGTGTACCCCTAACAGGGAGGGCCAGAAAATCACACCGCAATACCGTGATTACATGCAACAAAACCGACGACACCTCACTATCAAGACGCCCCGTCCGTGTTGGTCGGTCTGCATCTCCGTCCACGTAAGGCGCCCCCTCCCCCGGTTACGGCCCCCAAAGCCAGCACATGGCCCTCCTGCACCCCCAAAAGGGCGCTCACCCCGGCGCCCGCCTGGCCGGGTCTTGGTGAGGGCCCGTCGGTGCCCCGACTCCATCTCTCCCGGCCGTGCGAGAACCCTGACCCTGGCCGCTCCGCGGATCCGTGTTTCCAGATTTGGGGCGCGGGGCACCGTCAGCCCGCCCCTCAGCGCCGCGGGACCCTCACCCACCGCGCGGGCCAGACTGGAAGCCGGGCGCGAGGGGAATGAGGCGAAGCTACGCAGGGCGAGGGTATCTGTCTGTGCGTGCGTACTCCCCGAGCGCCCGCGCTGCGCCCCCTGAGAGCTGGGCGCAGGCAAGCGCATGCGACCTAGGTGAAAGGCGCCCGCTGGCAAGCGTCGGGCGCGACTACGCATCCGGGAAGCTGGAGGACGACTCCACCAATCTGGGCGTGTGGCGCATGCGCACTCTCCGCTCGGCTGTACTGCGTGGCCAAGAAGACCGACGCAGGGCGGTCGTCACCGCGCACGCGCGCTGTGCGCCAGGCCGTACTGCGTCACCTGGGAGCGAGGCGCCTGCGCGCGCATGCGCGCCGGGCGAAGGGCGTGAGATGGCGGGTGTCGGGGCCCGAGGACGGTTGGTGATGGGTTGGCCGGTGCTGCTGCTGCTCGCGTTGTGCGCGGCGGGCGCCCGGGGCCTCTATTTCCATATCGGCGAGACCGAGAAGCGCTGCTTCATCGAGGAAATCCCCGACGAGACCATGGTCATCGGTCAGGCGGGGCGAGGGTGGACGGGGCCCTGCGTGTCCCCCCGGCGCGGCTGCGGCTCCCCGCTCCTGGCGGCGCCCGGAGGACGCCGGGTCGAGCAGCGCCCCCTGCCCGGCGCTCCGGGAGTGTGGGAGCCGGGCAGAGCTGGCGGGTTGTGACAGCTCTGTCTGCTCCGCAGGGAATTACCGCACCCAGATGTGGGATAAGCAGAAGGAGGTCTTCCTGCCCTCGACCCCCGGCCTGGGCATGCACGTGGAGGTGAAGGACCCTGAAGGCAAGGTAGGGCTACCGCTGGTCGCCCTGCGCTGTGGCATGGGCGCCTTGCAGACTGTATCAGGCATCCTTCACAGAGCCGTTTGGGACGTACAGAGCTCGGGACATGCGCTGCGGTTGGAGAGGTCAGAGTACAGGTGGGGGCTTTCACTGACTGCTCTGTTGCAGGTGGTGCTCTCCCGACAGTACGGCTCAGAGGGACGCTTCACCTTCACTTCCCACACTCCTGGTGAACATCAGATTTGCCTGCACTCCAACTCTACCAGGATGGCTCTCTTCGCTGGTGGCAGGCTGGTAAGAGAATTTTCTCTTTGGCCACAACTGGGACTCTCTCACTTGCTTCCAAAGTTTTGATTTACCACCATCATCATTTGTGACACTTTGTGGCACAGTCACAAGTGAGACAGATGTTGCCCTTTGGCCCAGCACCCAGGGACAAGAGTGGGTTCCATAGCCTGGAACAGACACTCAGAGGCCCCACCACTCTGACACTGTAACTTCAGAGCGTTTCTGACTTTGTTGCTATGGGGTTCCAACCCCGTTTCCTTTTAGCGTGTGCACCTAGACATCCAGGTTGGGGAGCATGCCAACAACTACCCTGAGATCGCTGCCAAGGATAAACTGACAGAGCTGCAGCTCCGAGCCCGCCAGTTGCTTGATCAGGTGGAACAGATCCAGAAAGAACAGGATTACCAAAGGGTAAGGGCATATCACTGTCGTTGGACATGGCAGTTGATCTTTTACCCACCACACCTACTCGAAGTTTCTGCTTGGGGCCTTCTCTGCATGGGAGATCAGTTGTTAGGGGAATAGAATGGAGAGATCAGTGTAGATAGTGGGGTTTGTTTTTTTTATCACTGAGGAAGATTCACCCTGAGCTAACATCTGTTGTCAGTCTTCCTGTTTTTTTGTGTGAGCTGCTGCCACAGCATGGCTGCTGATGAGTGTTGTAGGTCTATGCTCCAGAACTGAACCTAGGCTGCTGAAGTGGAGCATGCCAAATTTAACCACTAGGCCATGGGGGCTGGCCCTAGATAGCCATTTTTAAGCTTTGCAAATTAAAGTGAGGAGAGGAGAGGTCACAATGTAGCATAGCCATTGCCTGCTTATTGACCTTGGAATCTTGCTTGAAATGGTAGGAGCATGATTTCTGGTCTAGCAGATACGCCTGAGGATGGGCAGTATTGACATACTTTCTTGGGGCACTCCCAATGGAATCAGGCAGCATTCCAGAAGGCATTTGGTCTCGCAGTTGAGTAGTCACAAGGGAGGGAGGGGCCTTGCAATAGCCGGGACCATCTCTCCAGCACTTCTAATCCTGGGTTGTTATGCCACACAGTATCGTGAAGAACGCTTCCGTCTGACCAGTGAGAGCACCAACCAGAGAGTCCTGTGGTGGTCCATTGCTCAGACTGTCATCCTCATCCTCACTGGCATCTGGCAGATGCGTCACCTCAAGAGCTTCTTTGAAGCCAAGAAGCTGGTGTAGTGTCCTCTCCGAATGACCCTTCCCTCTCCAACTATTTGGTACTTTCCCCACCCAATAATACCTTATCCACCTGGATTTTGAGGGAAAAAAATGAAAAAAGAATATAAGCCACACTGGTTCCATGGCGGCAAAGCATTCAGATCAGCCACTTGTTAACACTGGTTCTCAAGGACACAAGACATTGGTCCAAACTTTCAAAGATCTGTTTTGAGATGTGGGCGGAGTTGGAACTGACCCAGGACTCAGTCTTCTTTCACCTCCAGGGATTCCCCTCTATCCTGTCACAAAACGAGCAAATGAAAAATCTCTCCGACTCCTTTAACTTCCCCCTCTGTCTGCTTACACAGTAGGCGACTGAAATGCCCC